ATGGCAGTCGGCAGTTCTTTATTCGTTTGCTTGTAAATCACACCACGTACGCTTATATATGTATAAACATACACACACGTATGTATTTGTATGTCGAAAGGCATGGTCTTGGTTGGGTATTTACCATTCCAAGAGACAGACTCCTGTTAAGATGATCTGATGATCGGGTGCAGAAGAACAAGTTCTTGGACACTAATCGACAAGCCGAATGGGTTATCTTTAGCAGATGACCAATACCATTGGCGTACGCATTCATTCATCAATAAGTCTCAATTCTCGTTTAGGTAGGTATTTTATATTATGTTTCAATAACTTTTTGTGACTTGGTGGGTAATAGATATTATTTTTTTTTTACATTAAAAAAATATTTTTATTTTGTTTATTACAAAAAACGGATGATATATGATATTAATATAAAATTTATGTGATAGGAATTAATTATTTGAAAACCAGTAATTACACATTCTACTACTACTAGATAGATACTAAAACGTTTTAGAGGGGACAACCCCATGTGCACAGGTGCTTGCAATAAAATAGTTTAATACCTACTTGCCACTAAAACTAAACACTAAAATTGTAGTCATGAAAATAATTGTTTTCATGCTTAATATGCGGATGGCAGTGAATAAACAAATAAAGTACTTATTTAACAACTTGCGGTAGGTACATAGTTATGAGTAATTAAAAGAAATACAAAGGAAGTGCAGTAATAATAATTAATAGTATGACAATCGGTTCATTTCAACTTTTAATAAGCAATATTTTCAAAAAACTAAAAACATTTATCGTTGTTGATGATTTAATTTCTTTTTTCAAAACTGACAATTTAAAAAACGCCACTGAAGAACTCATTCTCATGCCTTGGTGCTACTTATTTATGCATATACTTACAATGATTTCACTTCTATTTATTTAGAAAAATTTCATGAGTAAAGGTGGGTTAATGACATCAAACAGAACTAAAATCAAATAAAACCGCTGATTTATTGTATTATTGTAATTTACATTTAATATTTATTCAAGGACTGACAACTTTAGTCTATAAATAGTAGTTCATAAATAAACCATTGCATTTTCTTTGGTCAATGTTCGCATGCTTTTCTACGTTCGACAGAATTTTGTAAATTTCATTTATATAATAAATAGTCAATTTATAGTGTACTCGTTATGAATTTAATTGCAATGAACTAAAATTATTTGCTTATTATGCATTATAAGTCTTATCCTAACGCGCAACATGACAAACGGCAAGATATTCTTCAACGCCACCTGTGGGCGACCACACAGGTTGCGGCACGCGCTGTGAGTAGCGATTCAAAATTAATTTCCCCTACTTAACTTCGGTAATCTTCGTTCCGTTCGTGTGAGCTTGGCTGCGCAAAGAGACTATCGGACCACACAACTAGCGGCACGCGCAGCTTTTGACACTGTGTCCGCCCCCCGACGCAGTTCGTGCGAAGCCGAGTGCGCCCGAACAATGTTAAGGCCACCCAACGTTAAGTTGTTAGCGCACGCGCCGCACAGTTCAGCAGCTGTCCGGGAAACGACTGTGATGTGTCCGTACGCGTTCTAATAAGCATCCAATTTGTCAGTTGCCGTAGACCACCCGGGTGTAGCTCGACGCCCCATTTCCCATGCAGTTAAAGCACTACACTAGACGGTATAATATTTAAACTTTAACAGGTATCGATATAAAATAAAGTAATTAAGCATAAGAATGTATTAAATGTTTATCTATTATTAGTATATAAGCAATATTGTAAGATTTATTTTGTACTTTTCATTACTACATATTTTCTTTATATGTATTACTTGAATTAAGGAAACTGCAACGATTTCTAGAATGTAGGAGAGGAAATAAATATTTACATACATAAGTTAAAGGGATAATTTTTCCACTAAATAATGGCTGATAATTATTCAAGTTTTGTACAATATTATTATAAAATATATTTATTTCTGAGGAAAATGGTATTATATCTAACCTTTCTTTTGTGTAATACGTTACCGAGAGAACGTGCCTATTTACGTTTCTTTTCTAAGTTCAATCAAAAGTGTAAAACCATGAGCAGAATCTATGTATACGAACGAGATCGATTGTTTGATTTTATTGTAATTTTTTTCATTAAAGGTTATACGTTAATATAAATAATAAGTTAAACTTAAAACAGTTCGCCGAGAACTAATTCTTTTTCACTGTACAAACTTAGTTTGTAGTTATAGTTCGCCGAAAGAAACCGTTCTTTTTAATACAGTTTGCTTGCAAACCTCCCACCCCTAGTGTATAGTTTCGGTGTTATTTTCAGTTGTTTAAATGCTCTTAATGCGTCTAAATTTTTTTAATCTTTAATATGAAAAAAATGTGTTTGTTATTTTAAATTGAACTTTTTAACTACAAGCGGGGGGAGAAAGAAAAATACAGGGTTTCCAAAGTTTTTATGTTTAACAAAAAGCGGAATGAATATTAATGTGGCATTTGGTGGGAACTTTATTTTCAAAAGGGAAGAAATGCGCAAAGGCATTTCCCAGTTGAGTTTGATACCACCGAAGTAAATCAACTCAATTTATAGAACTTTGGGTAGCTGGATTTCGTAAAATTAAAAATGTAGGATTTACCTACATAGAAATGGCCTGACTTATGATGAATCCAGTGCAAACTAATTCAGTAATACAACATCAATGATTAGTACATGTCAGTCAATGTAAAATAGTTATTGTTATAATATTGTGACATAATACACATTTACGACATTGGCCTAATTGCCGGTGTAAGAGAAATTCTCGATTTCAAAGACAATCCCCAAAATAATACACGTGAAATAGCAGATAACGTTGGCTTCGTAATGTGACAGTATGATAATTTTTCAAGGAACAGTTGCTGCATCCTTACAATTTGCAGCGAGTGCAAGCCTTGCTTGATTTTTAACTGTGAGTGGATTTGTGTCTGTGGTTTCAAAAGAAAAGTGCTGCATAACCTGATTTTTTTCCGTATTAGGGTGTTGTTTACAGATAAATTTGCTTCACGAGAGACGGAATTTTGAATTTTCAAAATAATCACTATTCGTGCGACGCAAATTCGCATGTCATACATTCTAATGATTTCAAGAACAGTTTTCGGTAAACGTGTGGTGCGAAATTTTTGGAGACTTATTTAACTATTTAGGTAAATTTATTTACAACTATTTGCAGAACAAAGGTAACACGCCTTGACAATACCTGGAATAGTGTATGTTTGAAGATACGATTTTGCATAGTACCCACATGAATTCGGCAAGTCTATTGCTTATTTCATGAGTTTTTGCCGTATATAGATAGGTTCAAATAAATCATAAACAAAATCGGTTTTGTTGTCGTACTTATTTATACCGTTTTGGTTGCATTATCAGACTAACACTGTCTATTAACTTACATTAGAATTTTAAATTACCTAATTAATTAACAATGCAATTGGAAAGATTAAAGAACAGAAGTAAATAATTGAAAATTACAGATCGATTACTCTACACTTAAGTTTATTATGTTTTAAAATAAATGAAAAGCGTTTTCGTCGCTTGACGTATCGTTGATATCTCCAACCTCCAATAGCTTTTATTCACACATTAATCTTCTCTTCCGGCTAATTCTAATTCTATTAGAACACTAAACTATAGATGAAAACAATTAAAAATTAATTTTGAGTTTTTAAAGTTTATGGCTAAATAAAATATTTGTTATAACTGTTAAGAAAAAGTTAGTTGGGTACAATATGTAAGAAGAGTGGGACGTGGCAAATATGTGTAGTCTCTAGAGCATTAAATTAAGTTCGTAAAATGTCCCGTAAAGTTAAATAGCGATAGAGGAACAAGCGCACGTCTCGCATCAGATGAAAGCGTAACAAGTCATAAACTTCGTTCAAATAATTGAGCCCGGCAAATCACTTTCAGTGTTAACGCAACCGTATTCTACATAATGATGCAGTTATACGTTAACTCCCACTGCCGACGAAAAATATGTCTCATAAATTAAAACGATTTCACACCTTTAATCATAATTATTAATTATAAATTTCACTTTTGAATCCTTTTTCCTCTGTAACTAAAATGTCAGTTGTCTTCTTTATTTGTTTCTGATTATTAAAAGTATTGTATGAAAATAAATAAAAGTAAAACAAAAATACTGGTATGCAAGGGAAGAAAAAGTACGGAAAGAGCGAATGTAAAGATAGGAGACGAAAAATTAGAAGAAGTGACCGATTTTAGGTATCTAGGAAGTCAGATAAGTCAGGACGCAAGGAGCAGTAGCGATACAAAGCAGAGAATAGCACAGGGTATAGAGTTGCCTTCAATAAAAAGAAATCACTTCTATGCTCGCGAACGATTAATTTAGAAATTCGAAAATGATTGTTAAAGGTGTATGTGCGGCGGAAACGAAAAGGTTAGAAGCGTTCGAAATGTGGTGTTATAGGCGAATGATGAGAATACCGTGGATAGAGAAGGTTAGAAATTAAAAGATATTAGAAACAATAGGCATGGAGGTTTAGTCAGAGACATATTAGAGGCAGATACAGAAGTTAAGAGTAAGTTCTAATGTCTTGGATTCGCGCTGGCAAAATCGTAGGTAGGGAGAAAAAAGCTCATTATACTCTCGACTCTTGTTCATTAAACATACTTTTTCATACAGTACCTGCCAAAAGTTTTGTTCAATCATGAATATTAGTGCGAGTCGAAAACGAGCGTTAAACCCTCAAATATGTCTTCAAATTAAATAGACATCTCGTTGATATTTTCAGTAGTAAATGGTACCAATAACAGCACATCTGAGCAATGGAATTGTAGTGGATAAAATGGTCAATTTTTTCGTGCTGTACTGTACGGATTATACGCTCCTCACCGGTTAAGAGTTTGGCCGAGAGTTGTCTCCTTCCTTTTCTGGCCTAGTGCTGTTCTTTTCTACTTTGCGCCGGTCAAACNTCAATTAATTTTATTACAACGGATATTCGTAAATTCAATAATAGTTCAGCAATTACAAATACGTCTTATTCCAAACTATACTTTAATATAAAGATAACACCTACTATTTATTGTAAAATAAAGGCATTTAATATATTTGTATGGTTTGTGTACTTTTCGTGGATTGAATAAATTTTCTAAACACTAATTACAGACAATTAAACGATTACTGCAAATGTGATACAAAACTTAATTTATCTAAACTCAATTTTCTGTTGTCTCCATACTTTCATCTACTTCTGCTTCCATATCATCATCTTCTTCTTCACCTTCCTTCTTTTCTTGTTGTTTTTCATATGCTTTGTCCAATGGTGAGACAACCACACCATCCCATACAGACATTTCTTTAGCAATAGAAGCATTGCCTTCTAAGCCTAAGACATGTTTAAAACCACCATGAGCAAGAACTCTTAAGAGAGTCTGGGCAGTTAAACAACAAATGTCTTGTTGTTCAAGGCTCATAGCAGTATGAATACGAATACTGCCACCTTCACAAGGATCTGTTATTCCTGTAAACAACAATTGTAGTAAATTATTTATCGATCACATTAAATAAACAAAAGATATTTACCAGCTGAGCCTGGTAAAAATAAGCCAGCTGCTAGTAGTTGAAAGACTCTCTTAAATGCTATGTTAATAGGCAATGCCTGTCTACTAGGATTGTTCATTATAGCGAAATGGGCCAAAAGATCCAACATCCATGGTGTTAGAGCTTCAAATCCATCAAAACGGTTCTTTAAATCTCTCAATAACCTAATTAAAACTTTAATTGAAGAGTGATGAGCATTTTCTTCAAACCACCTACTGTGCCTGATTGCAGCTAAGTGGCTTAACATAATCTTTTGATCTAAATGAATTTCAGGGTCAAGTTTTCTAAGATTTTGATGTACTGTTGTTATCAAAACACGAACACAAGCAAAGCTGTTGTTAATTTCAAAACCGCGTTCATTTGTTTGATGGTTTAATGCTTCTCCTTTAGTAACAATTTCATTTTTCATCAAATTTTCTAAATCTTCCTTAACCTTATTGGCCAATGCTTCCACAGCTTCTCTAGTTGGTAAAGTTTTAAGAATAACCACAATATCTGCAACATTATGACCAGTCACCATTGTCCCTTTTTTAAAAGAACCAACTTGGCGAACTTCTTCCAACTGCTGTAGGTAAGAAACATTGTAATCAAACTATCTTTGAATTAAAGTTATAAACGTACGCAAGCATCGAAGTTTCCTGGAGCAACAACTAAATTGTCCAAAACTGTTTGTATTTTTGTGACAAGGTTCAAGATGGCTGTTTGTTCTGCAGGTGTTGGTGAAAGATCAGTGTTTCTTTTTAATAACGCCTGTGTGAATGCTGACTCATCTGGAGCAGGCTTAGTTCTTGGAAAAGATGATTCACATAATGCAAGATCAAAAGGACGCCGAGGAACGAAGATTTTCGGTTTATATGGCCCTCGTCCTATTCCGCGACCTATACCTCCACGACCTCTTAATCCGCCACGTGCCATTATACTGAACAAAACAGAATGCAGGGGACCAGATTACTCGATTTGGTCGATATTGAATATTATTTCTAAAATAACAAATGCTAAATTTGCAGCAAATATTAATTATAGTGTTGTTGTTTATAGCTCAGCCGACGAACATAACCAATAGGTTAAATTTATCATAGATAAGGTATTCATCATAGATAGTATTCATAATATTCATAGATTAATTTATGGTTATATTCAATTATTTTTTTTAGATATGACATATCTGAAGTTAGCAATTATCATAGAAATTGTAATTGCAAAATAGTAAATTACAAATGTTAACATCAAATACCTGTTACTATTAATTGGTTGTCCAGAAAAAGAAGAAACGAGCGTGTGGTCAATACCTGTTTCTTTTCCTCATTCTTTACCTTATTTCTCCCTCTCACACATTTCTGCCTGAATTTACTTTATAACTGGGCAAAGAATGCGCTCCATGCCTATAGTTAGCCAAATACGTATTATAGCAAAATAGCACCTCTACTTCAGTCTGAAGATAGTTATTAATTGCTCCTGATCGTAGATTCTCCGTCTGATAAGAATAAGAAACTTTATCAGACTTTAAATGAGTCTAATGGTCATACTAGGAGGAGTCACGAATATATATATATTGTTAAATCACTTTTACCATTTTAAGATTATAATTGTATTTATTTAAAACAAATTGAATAAAGTGGACGGAAGTAGATAGCAAAATACAGAATAGCATAAATTATATTCCTCTTGACCCTTGTATGTGTGGCATTCGGAGTTGCCCATCTATATGCTGATATGACCATGGACCGAGATCTTTCACAATATGTATGGTGTATTTATTATTACATTATTTTGGTTTTTGTTTTAAGATGTGATAGAGAGAGTATGGGTACGAAACACATTTGGCTAACTGATACCTAACAAAAACAGCAGACTTTGTTCAAATCATTTTCTGAAAAGTATGTTTTATAGCATAGGGGATATTGTTTGGTTGTTACTCTTACGTCTAGTCTCTTGAATGACTTATTAATTAATAATTAATGATAGACGTCTTCTTGTTTAATGTCACCGTATCACCAAGTTGTGTTCGCTCGTACGCTGCGCAAGTAAGACAGTGCGCACTAGTTTGCAGCGTAATAAACGTCATTGTGTTTACGTTTTGTGTTTGACAATTGAAAACACCGAAATTGATGCGCTTTACTAGTGATAATACTTTTTAGACAATTATTGCAAACACATGCAACCTTAAATTTTACGAAGTTTATCCTTCACGTATGAATATTTTTTTTTTATCTAGTTAGAAGCAATGTTTCGCCATCTGGCGGGTATTTGTTGTTACTGAAGTATTTCATTAATTTGAATATAATTCCCGTTGCACACAGAAGTCGTTTGGGTTGCATAACTTTATTCTAAAAAAAGCATAATTTTTATAACTACTTCAAGCGACGTAAATATCCATTACGAATTAAACTTTATAATTAATTCTACCATTACGCATAAGCTTTTAGAGAAGCTACTTTTATTTTTTTTGCATTTTAACAAGTTACATTTTAAATAATAATTAGAAACTAATTTTAAAAATATTTTAAAATAACGTTAAATAATTTTATAGGTACCTATTTCTGTATTTTTCGGTAGCGTATTTCAAATTGGAATAATAAAAATGCAAAGAGTAGGTATTGAAAACCGCTTCATAATCAGATAAAAATAGTTGATATCAGAGTATTAACTTTTAGTTTTTGCTTACAATGTGCTAATTGATTTTATTTTCTTAAAAAATGAGGTTGTCATGCAACAGTTTAACCTATGCATGATACAACGGTGTTCGCGGAAGATGGCAAACCATTTTTTTTTGTAACAAAAGTTTATTATATTCCTATCCCTGAAATGAACAAATATGCATGAGCACTCCTTTTAAAACTTAAATGAGTAAAACATGATCGGTCAAACCGTAAAATTCACATAAATAGCTATAATTCGGATTTCAGTCTTGATACACGATAAATCGCAGGGAATGACTGCATAGCTACGATACATACGCATACATACATTCGATGTTATAGCGCAATGGTCGATTATCATGCGGTGTTAACTCCTCCTGTCAAAATAGTAGTGACTACACCTGGCAGATGGCGGTGTTGCAGCGGTTAAAGATTTTGTAAAATGGGTTGCATATGAAAAACAGCATTACAATCATAAAAAATATTATCATTATTTTTATTTGCACTGCAGTGATTAGGGTTGTCTACGTTCAAAAAATTTTTTTATTAAAATTGGTAACGATAATAATACTTATTTGTAATGCTTTTCATTGGAGAAGAAATCGGGAAATACCACGTGTAAACGTTCAAATGTCGCGTCCGTGACCGCGAAGCGCGTAAAGAGAAAAATAGAAATTGTCTGTAGTTATCAATGAGAGTATTTGAAAAATATGAAAATGTAAAGTTGGTTGTTATCATTTGTCATTCATAAGAAGAAAGCAGGAAAGAATTTTTGAAAAAGGTAAGTAAAGAAGTACAAAAAATGAAATGTTATGAACAAGTGGTGCATGCATAAATAGTGGTAGAATATGTGAAAAAATAGACAAACGTGTTGTCCATTTACAAAAAGTAAGGACGGTGGAAGTACAGAATACTGTTTACGTGAGGAGCAAATACAGTAAAAAAATATTATGCATATAATATATACATACATATATACATACGTACTGTACCTACAAGTGCATGTGTGTACATATATGAAAAGATAAAGATAAAAGGCCTGCTTCGGCAACGTTGAAATGTATATGTTTTTTCTAAAGATTCGCCAACTTTATTTGTTTGGCACCTTTCAAATTTTCGATGAGGTACCTAGGTATCTCTTTAAAAACTTAAAAACGATAACAGATAAAGCTACCTGATAATTACCCGAAAACAAATAAATCACATAATATCACATATGTATAGGTACCTATTATGCTGTTATCTTATTAAAAGTGTGTTTATGAACAAAATGAAGTTATGCAAAAGTAAATAAGCGGGCACTTTCGTTTCTTATGTTAAGGTCATTTCTAAAGAAAAAAATAAAACAAAATCGGTACAACTCGATAGACGATACCGAGAAAAATGTGTTAGTAGTCTCATACATTTTTTGCATTATAAACATAAAATGGGCAAAGTCAGAAGGAAGGCTGATGGAACATTGTTAATATCTTATACTGCAAAGTAGAATTGAACTCATACTTGTTAGGTAAATGCTCCAATCTAGCAATTGTTATTGATATACGAGTTTCTTTTAAATATGTACACTACAATTGTTGACAAAATGGAAGTTATCGAAACACCAGTAAAAGTTGCATTCAATATTTTCTGTAACAGTCGAATATGAAAAGGAAGAAATGAATATTGTTTTAACATCTAATTACATGAGAAGAAAAGAAGTAGTACATAAATTGTACGGTTCAACAGTAATTGAAAAAATTGTAATTGCCTTGTCGAAAAAGCGTAAAATGCAATTTAGACTTATGCTATATTTGTTGGTATTATGCTTTTATCAGAAACGTTGTTCATTGAAGAAAAATTGAAATAGTTTTGTTTTTTGTATGAGATGTCCAACATACACGTAT